TTAGAGGTTAATATAACTGCTGGATATGTAAAAACAGCCCAAGTTCGAATCCCAGTAAGGGTATGGCTAGCTGATGAGAGCTAAATAGCTTGAAATAGATCTATACTAATCTCCCTACATTTATTTATCAGCAATATATAATATCTTGTAAGATTGAGATTGTCTTGGCAACATTCCAGCCTGAAGATGATGAGTGAGACCTTGCTGAAATGTTGCCAAGACAATCTCAATCTTACAAGATATTATATATTGCTGATAAATAAATGTAGGGAGATTAGTATAGATCTATTTCAAGCTATTTAGCTCTCATCAGCTAGCCATACCCTTGCTGGGATTCGAACTTGGGCTGTTTTTACATATTAAGCAGTTATATTAATCTCTAAGCCACAAGCTCTCTTCCCTTATCAGCTAAGCCAGGGGAATACATACATACATACACATCGCTACTTTTTTCCATGTTATCTCTTTCAGGAGAAGCCAGAATTATCTAGAAAAATCATCAATGATTGGGTGGCAAATAAAACTGAGAAGCGTATAACAAATGTGATCCCAGAAGGAGTCATTAATGAATTAACTGTTATGATACTAGTCAACACAATTTACTTCAAGGTATGGAAAATAAACCTTAAAACTGAATCTTGCAGATTTTTCTGAAAAGCTCCACTGAAAGTAATTTGGCTAACTTTGACTTCAATGCAACCCACATTTTTTTCAAGTTAAGACAGACAAGAAGAATGAAGCCTACCTAATTTGATAAGCACAATCTTCAAACCATTTCACACATTTCTAACAGATGTCCCTCCTCCAATAATAGGCCTTGCTGCTAATGAAAAAAAGGAGGAAGCTTGCCTGAGGTCTTCAATTTATTTAAATGCCTCTATTTAAACTCCTTATTCCTGACTTGTATTTATAACCAAATCTTGCAAGAGTTAGCAAATATATGTACAGATGATTGAATGCCTTTTGGCACAGTACTTTTTTTGTAGAATGTAGTAAATTCTTTCATTGCTTAATTTTAAATTCTGAATTTATCACAATTACATTTTACACCATATTCTTCTTTTATTATCCTCTCTTCAGAATGTGATAAGATGGAAGTGCTCCAGGTCAGGTCTCTCTAAAATCCTGCTATAAGAATCATCAGGTCAAGAACGCCTGATGACTATAAGTGTGGCCTCCTGTGCAATTACAGTATTGTTGCTTCCTATAGAGGGCTTTTTCTGAATCTGGTGGAATTTAAGAAATCTCAGTCTTAAGACAGCATATAACAGAAGGAAGAACAATCCTGTCTGGTTCTCAGTCTGCAGGTTTTAGAACATCCTCAAACTCTCTCAGTTTTTCAGGATGCCTGGCGAACAGCTAATGACTAGAACATTAGAACATACTAATAACATTTCCTGTTGGTTCCAGCAAATATTGCCAGATTTTATACTGTGCAAGGAAATAAGCTGGCACCAGTATTCTCAAGCATAG